TGTCTTTCAAACAGATATTATTTGTGTACATCATAATACGATGAGTAGGTATTTTTAATTTTAATGTTTTAACTATCAACGTGAATACTGTTAATAATAATTTTTAATAATAATTAATAATCTTACAAAACCGTAAAATCATAAAATCAATAGGTAATTGATTTATTTATTTTTAGATTTTAGTGTCGGCAAACTATATCATAATATTATGTCTATATTATTGAAATTTTGACATGGCAACAAAATAGACTCAAATAATGAAATGTAAAAAATTGAAAAACAAAATAAATTAACTTACAAATAAAAAAATTAATTCGTTAATTTAACGTTGATTAAAAAATAAATTTAGTAAATTAGTAGTTAAGTTAAAAATTATTATTATCACATCATAATCATTATCATTCGATTTCGATATATTTTAGGTTTTGAAGGTAAAATAAATAGTAATCATGGCTGAAAAAAAACAATCGAAACGGCAATCTTTTTTTCGAAACCACCCTTAATAATGAATTCATTGTCAAATTCATTGAATGCAACTCAAACAGTTATAAGTTCCTCTAGTTTCTCATTACCAGGGGCGGATTGGGGAGAGATTTCGGCCAGGGAAAATACAAAGTATACCGGCCCACTTACCAATTTACCAAATATTTAATTTTAGCCAACATAATATTATTATGTATTACTATTTTAACATAACTATACGTTTGGCGAGATATGAAATTTATAAAACTTTATTCGTAGTGTATATACATTATACATCGATATCAAATTTATTTTTATTTTTGAACAGTTTATGTTTACATATTTATAATAGTCCAAACTCCAAGTACTTATATAACACAGTAAAAATGAATAATTTAAATTACTAATGTTACGAATTTTGTATTTAATAAGAAAGGTTATTACAATTATTACCTATTCAATAATATTTAATAATGCGTTTTTAGACTTAAATAAAAGCTTATAATTAACTTCCACTTAATATACCTGATAGGTAAATTCGTAAATTAACAGAATCAACATGCAAAATATATGTGTATCTACTATCTTTTTATTTTCTAAAAAAATGTTTTACTGTGGTTTATTCATAATAACATTATGTAGGTACTTTAATTCTAAACAACCAGAAAAATTGTATAGTCTTGTTTTTCTTTAGTATTTTTATGTAATATAATATTGAGTAAAATGTTTTGTCTCCGTCTTAGTACAATCTAACAAATTATAGTTCACTATCTGTATTGACCAATCAGCCGAAACGATATAATAATAATATTTAGCTGTAGTACCTAAATAGTAAATATTATAAAAATTATTGTATACCTACGTAATGTTACTTCCCTATTATTCAATAATTTATAAATTCGCCTAAACGATCGGTTAATTTCTCGTCCAAATGATATATTCTTTACTCAAGTTAATTTTGGGTTATTCGCCCAAACGAATGACGCTCAAATTTTTTACACCCGAAATACGTGTACTACTGTATTAGTACCTATACTGAATTAAAAAGTGTATGAAACAATTTTCGGAAATTTAAACCCTGTCTAGTTTTCGATATTACAGTGCTTACTGCTCAAATCAGGTTGACTTTTTCTATTTTCTACTTCCGCGGGATGTCAAGTAAAGTAGACTTTTTCCGAAGTTTGTCGTTACCTAGAGATCACCCAATGTGGTTTTACATAACATATCAAGGGTTGTTTTCGATTTTAACTGTCCCAACAAGTGACCCCGCTATATTATATTTGCTATTTTTGCTTTTCGAGAAATAATATAGTTTAGCTTCCTGTCTCTCATCGTTGTGTCAGCAATCCACCGTAGGTAGATTGCCTACCTGATATACCTACTATTGCATACTGTCCGCAATCCAATAAATATTCGTATTATCTTATTTTGAAAAATCGGAAAAAATGCAAATTTACTGTGCTGGTACCTAATAGGAATTTAAGAATACATAGTTATTTGAAAAAGCAGCCCACCGGGAAAATTCCCGAATTCCCGGTGGCCCAATCCGCCTCTGCTCATTACCATCAACTGCATCTGCATCTGATACACCTATCACTCAGTTTACACCTTCGACTACAGATATTAATCGTACATCTTCCAGTTATAATATTTTTGACATTGCACATTACACAAATAAATTGTTAACGCAAAGTGAAATAGAAGAAATTTTGAGCAAAATTTGGGTCCCTGATATTAATTACAATTGTCCTATCAAAATATCAGTAGTCGGTAAACAACAAAAAGTTTTGAGGTTGAAATTTCAATATAAATGGCTAATTAACTTTCCCTGGTTGGCCTATTCAGAAGTAAACAATGGTGCGTATTGCAAATATTGTGTTGCTTTTACTAAAAATGAAGCCGGTGTTAATAACCAAAAATTGGGAGCATTTGTATTAAAAAAATATGATGATTGGAAACATGCATTGGAAGACTTTAAAAATCATTCGAATTTAGAATATCACAATCAATAGAATTTTTATTATAAATAATTAATAATATAATATTTATAATATTCTGTACTTACTATGTGCATATTAAATAATATTTAACTGCCATGAGTTACGTAAACCTTTGTATTTGTTTTGCTATTTTGCCTATTAGTATTTATACGTGTAATGTGTTTGATTGTTAGGAAAATGGGTAGTTGCAAAAAGAAGGTTTTAGTGCTGGTTATTTTTTTTAAACCTCCCCCAGAGCAAATTTGAATGTACGCCACTGCCAACTGGGCTGTTGTTATAAAATAGTGGATTATTAGGTGCTACACCAGATGGACTTGTTAATTCAAGTCATATTCTAGAAGTTAAATGTTCGTGGAAGTATAGGAATGCAGTTCTTGAAGTTGAAATTACAAAAAATCATGATTATATTTTATATGAGGAAAATAATTAATTATTTGTAAATAAAACACAATCATATTGGGACCAGATTCAAGGCCAACTATAAAAAGTGTCAATTATGTTATTTGGTTATTTGGACTCCTAAACAGGCATTAATAACAGAAATCAAAATAAAAAGGTTAAATGGATAGACAATTAAGAAAATCTGGAAAAATTTTTTTTATTGAAAAACTTTAATCAATATAAACCTTTATTTTATTGGTATGTACTATGTATTTTTTTTTAATATTGGTTAGAATTAAGAATACAAAATTAAGTTTGGCTGATGAGTGAAATTTTTTGGTTTTAAATATTTATTCTAACTCTATTTTATAATTCATTAAACAAAAATTCCAGAGTTTATTGTTGATATTTATTTACCCTGATTGTTAATATTTTTTGAGCATCCAGCATCCGTAGTTTCATCGTTTCCATACACAACATCATTGTCTGGGTATTTATCCTGTCTGTTATAATTACCTATATCCTCATTTTCAACATCATCCATAACGTCATTATCTACATCTATACAGTAATTTAACATTTAACATTTTTTCAAAAATATCTGTAATATATTATATCAAATAAAATTTCATAATTAAATAACACTTGAATAGATACCTCATGCCCTTTCAACCAATTATTATATATATATTCAAGCTGTTCAATTTTTCTATAGAAATGAACATTTGAAGCTTGGGAAATTAATTCAGAAATCTTTGCACCTATTAATGTTGCTTTTCTGAACTTTTCGTGAGTTGTTGGAACTTTTTTCTTTTTTCTGTATAATGTAGTTACTGTAGTAGTATCACTATCGGAGACAACGACCTCAACATTTTGAAAAACCCTTTGAGTTTTATAATAATAATTTCTCGTCCATCTTTTTTCGCACAAATCAGGATCAAATAAAGGTGTCAGTAATTGTTTTCGTACCTTAAAAATATGACGACACGGAAGTCTCATTGAGTTGTAGAAAATACAACTGCATGTATTCTCAGTTGTATTTTTAGTAATACTTTCTTTGTCACACTCAAACTGTTTTTTTTTTAAATTGTATGCATAAGGTGTTAACAAATCATAATACTTATGCAATTCAGGAGTTTGAGACATTTGAATTGGGTGTTTTTGAACCAACTTCACAGCATTTTTATCGCGTTCTAATCTAATGCATTTGAGAACAATGAATAATTTTTCTACAAAATTTTTTAAAGTAGAAAAACAGTAAATAACAGATTTTAGTTTCTCGTTGAAACTCTCTAATCTGTTATTTGTTTTATTCATAAAATTTCCTAGCATGTAAGTAATGCCTATCACCCATTCATCCCTTATTAAATGCCAGTTTTTATTGTAATATTCCATGACTGTTTCTGGTGCTATAGTATTCAAGTGTTGGTATAAATTATTATATTCCATTTCTGATTTACAATAAACAATACTTTGAATTACTTCTTTTACCGTGTCCCTTTCATTGGGAGTGATATTTCGCTTATCACAGGTAATTTCACGGTTAAATGTTCTCAAAGTATGAAATAAACATATTGCGAGTTCGCTATTAGGAAAGACTTGCTTAATAACATTTCTTTCCTTCATGTCCTTGTCGGTTACATACACCAGAGTTTGAGCCGAAATTGGGTTTTTTTTTTTAAAAGTTTCAAAAAACCAGCGCAGGGTAACTTCTTCCTCATTCACTAATAAGCCAATTGCTGCAATTTCACTCTGTCCGTTGCCATCCTCCGTCATTAATACATATACTGACAGTCTTAAGTCGAGCAATTTATATGTAGCATCTGCAAAAACTACCTTTAGAAACATTGGAAATTTTTAGTATATACTGGATATTATATAATTTTGTAGTGTTTTAAAATTTAAATAAAACATATTACTTCAGGAAATGCTTCAAACGATTCAGTCATGAATCTGTCCTGTATAAAAACACCATTGAGGTTATTTGACTCATCAGTTGATATTTCAACAATACAATTAAATTTAGTCTTTAATTTATCAACAACCTCCACTAAATTGTTCTTTGAATAATTTTTTCCAAAAAAAATAAAATAGTTATAGAAATATTATAATATTATAATATTAATATCAAATTCTTAAGAAAACCACTAAATTAAATTATAATTTTTTCTTACTGCCTGTAGTATGAATATTTGATAAGTCTTTTAAAGTAACAATCTTCCCACTTTCATTGATTATTTTGTGTTGAATCATTTTTTTATTAGCCTTAAGATCCATAAGCTCCAATACGGTAGCCTTATTTTTGAGGGTGATTTTCCTTTGGTTAGGGAGATGATTATATAATATCCTGGAAACCTCATGGTTGTGGTCCTCAGTCATTTTTGTGATGACTAGAGATTTTCCATCATCTGATGCCTTCAGATCACAGCCTTGGCGCATTGTACTTCAAACATTTTAATATTTTAAATCTTGAATTTTACAACATAGTAATAAATAAATAAATAAAATAAATGTACTCACGATGTAGAACGTTGGTTAAGTGTTTTTTTTTTTTTTAGCATCCTCCATGCACACAACAAAATTTGATGTAATAATATTTTAAATTACTTGATGCTGTAACCATTCTACCATTTGGATATTTTTCGTTTATAGATACTAATGTCTTGCAGTCTTTAATAAAATAATCTACAAAATTCACGTCTTTGTAGACCCTAAAGCTGTTTTTGAACTCTTGAAATGATTTAAAGCTATCTTGGAGCTTCATAATTATATATATAACTGTATAAGATATAATTTACCTTTAAACACTGAAAAACTAATGAACACTGAATAACTTATGAACACTGAATAACTGATGAACACTGAATAACTTGTACAAGCCACAAGGTTTATAGCTTGTATAGGTTAGTAGAGCTTTATAGTCTTTATACTTATCATAGGGTTATACAATGGAAAGGATATAAAGGTAGGTAAAAGCCAAATAAACAATTAAATTTTCCTAATAAAAATCTATTATTAAATATTTAAATTACGCACCCAATGCTGATCGGTGTGATACTCAACAGGTAATTTACAGTGTGACCCGGTACAGTGTAACCGAGCGCCCGGTACTCTACAGTGTAACCGGCACCCGGCGCTCTACAGTGTAACCAGCGCCCGGCGATCTACAGTGTAACCAGCGCCCGGCGATCTACAGTGTAACCGGCGTCCGGCGCTCTACAGTGTAACCGGCGCCCGGCGTTCTAGACACAGCGTATTTTCTTTGTCTATGCGTCATTGCGTCAGTTCATTGTCCATTTGTCCAATGTTTTAAGTTTTTTTTGTGGTAAAGGTATTCGCGCAGTTTTTGGTGCCGCTATTTGCAAATTTAATCTTTTATCTAATATCTATTATACCCAATGTCAATCATTGTTAATCTCTACAGAGTCTACATTGAGATTTGCGGTTTTGACTCTTGTAGTGTGTAATTTCATTTTCCCGGGTTTCCGTATCGCGGTTTCAGCACGGTGGATCGAGATTTACTATGAGCGAGTAAGCGACGACGACCGGAATACAATTATTTATTCAAGTTGTTTTAATTCTTTGAAATCGTTATTGTAGACTTCCCAAAGATATGGATCTGAAAAAGTTGATGGACGAAATACGATCTTTGCACCTTAAAGTAGATCATGTGACCAATACTCTCGGCTCGTTGGATAAAAAGATCAACGATATAGCTGCATTACAGCAGATTGGAGGCGAAACAGTGCGCAAATCTGCCAATTCCATTAATATTATTATCAGGTTTTTGGCCGTATGTATTATGTATTATTAAATATTAATTGTGATATAATGGTAGGAAAGTTGGGGGTTTCAGAGTACAGTAAATCAGTATGTTTTTTTTTAGGGTTTACGTAAACTGTCACCTGAAGAGTTAAAAAACACACTTGTTGAAGGAGATGCCATACTGAATACAGTCAATCCCATTCCAACAGGGCAAAGTATTGATGAAGCTTTAGAGTGGAATGATTTTAAAGAGAAGCTGAAAACAACACTTAAGGAAGTGTTTGATTTATTAAATTCGTTGCCCATTGATACCAACAGCAATGGTTCAGGGGCTTCGACGAATAATGCAAATAATATTGACAGGAAAGTAGAAGAAGAGAAAATCCAATTTTGGAGAAAATATAAAAATAAATATAACTATATTGACAAGCTTAAGCCAAAATTGCCACCAATAAACAACCCAGTTGAGGAAGTGGTATCATCTATACAAAATGAAGTAAACAGCACTGAAGAAAATGATAAAAATCCAATTGTACAAAATAATTTAAATAGCGAGACAACATATACAATAAATGACATTATACAGAACAAAGAAGTATATGAAATGTTTAAAAAGAGACTAAAAAATTCACCATATGATGACCCAGTTTACAAAAATAATGTTGTCAATTCTAAACTAACTCTAACATTGGCTAATGGTGAAACCTATATAAGACCAGTGAGTCATGTAGCACCGCTCATAGTACTAAAAAAATGTGATGATTTATGTCCAATTCCACTACATAAAAAAAAAAGGTGTGTACCTATTGATCTAAATGTATAATATTTTATTTATTTAAGCTGTCATAATTCTATTTTCTAGGAGGGATGAACATTTTCCAAGTACTTCAAAGGATATAACAAATAGGTAAGTTTGCGTCTTGATTTTTTTTACTGTGTCCTCAAAGATGTTTTACTTGAAGTACCTACTATTGCTTTTTAGGACTTTTAATTTGTGATATTTCACATAACCCTATCAGTTTTAAAAATCAAAAAATTGACAATGCCTAAACATAAATATTGTTCTTACCCAAAAATTTAATAATAGCAATTTACTCTATATCAAAACAACTGAAACTAGTGAACGAAAATTTGGTATGTTGTACGTGTGTAAGATGTAGACAGCAAATACATGAGTAGCATAATTGGCCTTAACAAAGATTTTAATAATATGTATTCCATAAAATATGACATTTATTTATAAAAATTGTAGCAATATATAAAAAAAAAAGTAGGCAAGTGAGTCTCTCACTACTTTAAAGTGAGAATCTAGAGGAGTCGCTGTAATGTACCTATGTATCAATTTGACATTATACAGAACAATGAAGTATATGGAAAGTTTAAAAGTAGACTTAAAAATTCACCATATGATGACCCAATTTACAAAAATAATGTCATAAATTCTAATGTATTTATAACATTGCATAATGGTGAAACCTATATAAGACCAGTGAGTCATGTAGCACCTCTAATAGTACTAAAAAAATGTGATGCTTTATGTCCAATTCCACTACAAAATAAAAAAAACATGTGTACCTATTGATCTAAATGTATAATATTTTATTTATTTAAGCTGTCATAATTCTATGTTCTAGGAGGGATGAACATTTTCCAAGTACTTCAAAGGATATAAATGATTCCAGTAGTAAAAAAACAAAGGATATAACAAATAGGTAGGTTTGCGTCTTGATTTTTTTTACTGTGTTCTCAAAGATGTTTTACTTGAAGAACCTACTATTGCCTTTTAGGACTTTTAATTTGTGATATTTCACATAACCCTATCAGTTTTAAAAATCAAAAAATTGACAATGCCTAAACATAAATATTGTTCTTACCCAAAAGTTTAATAATAGCAATTTACTCTATATCAAAACTACTGAAACTAGTGAACGAAAATTTGGTATGTTGTACGTGTGTAAGATGAAGACAGCAAATACATGAGTAGCATAATTGGCCTTAACAAAGAATTTAATAATGTGTATTCCATAAAATATGACATTTTTTTATAAAAACACAGTAGCAATATATAAAAAAAAAGTAGGCGAGTGAGTCTCTCACTACTTTAAAGTGAGTATCTAGAAGAGTCCCTGTAATGTACCTATGTATTAATTTAACATTATACAGAACAATGAAGTATATGTAAAGTTTAAAAGTAGACTTAAAAATTCACCATATGATGACCCAATTTACAAAAATAATGTCGTAAATTCTAAACTAACTCTAACATTGGCTAATGGTGAAACCTATATAAGACCAGTGAGTCATGTAGCACCTCTAATACAGTAAAACTTCCATGAACGGTCACCTCTATAAGACTGTCACTTCTATGTAACGGTCAATTTTTTTGGTCCCGTCGAGTGTTATCCTAGTGTTATCCTACCTCTGTAGGACGGGCACCTCTAAATAGCGGTCATTAATTAAGGTCCCTTCGGTGGCTGTTATATGGAAGTTCTACTGTAGTACTAAAAAAATGTGATGATTTATGTCCAATTCCACTACATAATAAAAAAACGTGTGTACCTATTGATCTAAATGTATAATATTTTATTTATTTAAGCTGTCATAATTCTATGTTCTAGGAGGGATGAACATTTTCCAAGTACTTCAAAGAATATAACAAATAGGTAAGTTTGCGTCTTGATTTTTTTTACTGTGTTCTCAAAGATGTTTTACTTGAAGAACCTACTATTGCTTTTTAGGACTTTTAATTTGTGATATTTCACATAACCCTATCAGTTTTAAAAATCAAAAAATTGACAATGCCTAAACATAAATATTGTTCTTACCCAAAAGTTTAATAATAGCAATTTACTCTATCTAGACACGCGCTAGCGTGTCAAGCCAAGTTATAGCTAACAGAACTGGCGAGCAGCACCGTGTGTAATATTACACGAACCATTTGGAGCCACTTTTGACCTCCTCATAACTCAAAAACTATTCCACATAAACATGTCAAATTTGGCTCATATATTGAGACTAACGAGATACATATGTGCTCTAAATATCATAAACACACTTCAAACCGTTATTTAGATATTAACGTCCGAAAATCGTCATTTTTATCACTGACTTACTTATAGATCAAAATTCTAACCCAGTTCCAGATGACCTAGAAAGTTCAAATTTGGCATACAGATAGGTAGTTAGGTAAATACAAAGGAAAAAATCAGAAACTTGAAAATTTTTAATTTTTAATTTTTTAATCAATTGATTTTATTATAATTTTGCAATTATTTTATCTATTATGTTTAATTTTTCAATTTATAGGTTAGGTTAGGTATAATAATTGCCTCTAATTTAATGTACTGTAATTTAATGTTGACTTAAATAACCTTTCCCGTATCGCCGCTCCAAAAATACGACTAGCCGATATTGTCGACCCGCGCGCGCGCAGCAACATACTTTTTTTTCTATCTATGTATGTAATTAATATTATTTTTTTAAATATAACAATTAAAATAATTAAATAATTATTCTTACAAATTATGAATTATCCACCCAACAGTAGAAAATACAGTCAATAAAATTATGATAATTAAAAATATACTCAAAAAGAGTTAAAATAATTGTATATTAATTTTACATATATATTATACTCTGTATATACAACGGAAAATATTTTATAATAAATATTATTATTAATATTAGTAACTGAATTATATTATGTAGTAATAAACTTTATTTATAGAATACGTCATGGCTAGGTTAGGTTAGTTATAATAATTTACATACAAAAAGTAATGATATCCCACCAAAAACATATATGTAAAATGAGAGCCAAGTTCAATACTATAATATATGCTTTGGTTGTTGACTTCAACGACAAAATAAGTGAGATCTAAATGGGTGCCAAGTTAGGATAATATATTGAAGCCTAAGGTCTGACTTGGCTACAAATTATATATTATAGCATTTGCAAGTTCTAAAGCTTTGAGTTCTTATTTTATTCTTCGGAAAATCATCTTCACTCTTCCATAACTGTTTTAGTAGGTACTTATAATAATAATTTGTATATGAAAAGTAGCCAAGTCACACCTTAGGCTTCAATATATTATCCTACCTTGGCACCCATTTAGATCTCACTTATTTTGTCGTTGAAGTCAACAACCAAAGCATATATTATAGTATTGAACTTGGCTCTCATTTTACATATATGTTTTTGGTGGGATATCAAAACTACTGAAACTAGTGAACGAAAATTTGGTATGTTGTACGTGTGTAAGATGAAGACAGCAAATACATGAGTAGCATAATTGGCCTTAACAAAGATTTTAATAATATGTATTCCATAAAATATGACATTTATTTGTAAAAACACAGTAGCAATATATAAAAAAAAAGTAGGCAAGTGAGTCTCTCACTACTTTAAAGTGAGAATCTAGAGGAGTCGCTGTAATGTACCTATGTATCAATTTGACATTATACAGAACAATGAAGTATATGGAAAGTTTAAAAGTAGACTTAAAAATTCACCATATGATGACTCAATTTACAAAAATAATGTCATAAATTCTAATGTATTTATAACATTGCATAATGGTGAAACCTATATAAGACCAGTGAGTCATGTAGCACCTCTAATAGTACTAAAAAAATGTGATGCTTTATGTCCAATTTCACTACAAAATAAAAAAACATGTGTACCTATTGATCCAAATGTATAATATTTTATTTATTTAAGCTGTCATAATTCTATGTTCTAGGAGGGATGAACATTTTCCAAGTACTTCAAAGGATATAAATGATTCCAGTAGTAAAAAAACAAAGGATATAACAAATAGGTAGGTTTGCGTCTTGATTTTTTTTACTGTGTTCTCAAAGATGTTTTACTTGAAGAACCTACTATTGCCTTTTAGGACTTTTAATTTGTGATATTTCACATAACCCTATCAGTTTTAAAAATCAAAAAATTGACAATGCCTAAACATAAATATTGTTCTTACCCAAAAGTTTAATAATAGCAATTTACTCTATATCAAAACTATTGAAACTAGTGAACGAAAATTTGGTATGTTGTACGTGTGTAAGATGAAGACAACAAATACATGAGTAGCATAATTGGCCTTAACAAAGAATATAAATGATTCCAGTAGTAATAATACAATAGCAAAAACAGATAAATATTTTCAAAGTACTTCGAACACTATAAATGTTTCCAATAGTAATAATACAACAGCAAAAATGACTGAAGGAGAAGCGAGATCTAATAAAACTAAGTATATAACAAATAGGTAGGTTTGCGTATTGATTTTTTTTCCTGTGTTCTTAAAGATGTTTTACTTAATTTTTTTTTTATTCAACATAATAATTTTATATTAAACATGTATCAAATTGCAGAAGTACCTACTGTTGCTTTTTAGGACTTTCAAAACACGTTTACGCAGTATGAATAGAAGTCTCTCAATTTTAGTGTTAGAATAAAAACGTCCATCACAGAATTAAAAAATGATAATCTTTTGGAAGGCAAGACGTTGAGTATTTAAAACAAAATTGAAATGTTGAAAAGTTAAAGATATTTTAAATATGTTGTAATTTTTGCTATTTCTAAACAATATAATAAACATTATATTATTAGGTATAATGGAAAAACCTTAACGACTCGCCCTCAAAAATATTGTCACAATTCAGTTTTATAATAAGGAGTATTTTTACTCTAGAACCAAAATTGAGAAATTTATACTCAGACTGCGTAAACGTGTCTTGTCTATTTTGTACGTGTGTAAGACAGAGACAACATGTGTGTGTGATGACCTGTTAAGATGAAACTACCTATGGGTTCGTTGTCTCTGGCTTACAAAAGTACAACATTGAAAACTTTCGTTCACTAGTTTCAATAGTGTGATGTAATTTTTGATATAAGAGTGAATTTATCTATTATCAAACTTAAGTGAGAACATTATCTAAACTTAAGTGTCGGTTTTTATTCAATATTTAAATTTTTAATCAAGATATGAGTTTTTTAATTTGTGATATTTCACATAACACTATCAGTCTTTAAAAAATAGAAAATTGAGATAATGTTATTAATTTATTTATTATCTTGTAAATAAAAATATTAATCAAAAAAATAGAAAACAATTTCCAAAAAAAAAAATAGAAAATAGAAAAATCTTATATCATGTTAATTTTTTTGATAATTCCGGTTATGTTGAATTGACCGACCTTTCAAAAAAAAGGTTACCACTAAACGTTACCCCTTAATTAATCTTGGTGGTTACCAATAATTGTTAATCGCTTCTCAAAATTTAACCTTACAAACCGGGAAGCGGTTACCAGATCCAAAATTGGCCATGGTAACCGGTTTCAAGCCCTGGTTCATATGAAGTTACCTGATACTTGATAGTAATAATTAACTTTTTGATAATAAATTATGTAGATTTTAACTGAATTATTAATATAATATATTATTTTTTGTTTCAGTAACAATGTTAAAACTACCACTAAAAAACGAAGTTCAACAATCCAAAATAGTAAATATGAACCATCAAAAAAAAAAAAAAAAAATAAAACAATATAGGTTACTCTATAAATTAATAATCTTAATTATTTACTCATTTAGATATTATATTATATTATATTATATATTAAATTTATTATATTTATTATATTATATAATATTATGATTATTTAAATGTCTTATATTTATTGATGAATAAATTTTTGATGCCATTCTAATT